TACCAGCCTGAGGAACCTGTAGTAGAGAAGATCCTGAGATCCCTGCGTTATCCTATGATCTCCCCTAGCCATCTTTTCCACCTGCAAAAACAGTCTCCAATGATGGTGAAACATTACAACACTGTGCAGGATTTGCTCTTCCAAGCCTTCCAGTTCCATTCAGCTTCCCCAATCCATTTTGCCAAATACTTTGATGTCAACTGCAGTATGTTCTTGCCCCGTAACTACCTCTCCATGTCTTGGGGGTCCCAATGGGTCATTAATAACCCTGCTAGAGATGACCGTAGTACCAGTTTCCAGACCCAGCTGGGACCCAGCAACCATGATTCTGCCAAGAGAGTTACATGGAATGTCCTCTTCTCTCCTCGCTGGCTCCCAGTGAGCCTGCGCCCTGTCTATTCTGACTCTCTCTCGGGGGCCATCCAGCCTATCAGAATTGAGGATGGACGCCCCCGTCTGGTTATCACTCCAGCCACAACCAGCTCAGATTTTGCAGGCGTCAGCTTCCAGAAGACAATTCTGGTGGGCGTCAGGCAGCAGGGCAAAGTCTTTGTCAAACACACCTACAACTTCCACCAAAGCACAGATGAAGTGGCTGATTTCCTGATATATGCTGACTTGCAGAAACGTACCTCTGAATACCTGATTGACAACTCTTTGCATCTGCATATCATTGTCAAGCCTGTCTACCACTCACTAATCAAGATCAAAAAGTAGAAGGGAGATGGGGGGAGGAGACAGCAGGACACATCACAGGGAGAGAACCACTGGTTTGTAATGAAGGATAGCAATGACTCTACTGTTCAGTATTTAAGTGTCTGATGCAGGCTCTGAATCTTTAATACATATTGGCCCTATTGGAGATGCTCTGAGAATTCATTGCATTAAAAAAACCTCCTTTGAATCTGGAGACTTTTCTAGAGGCAATTAATCAGGAAGTGGAGAATCCTCTCATCTGTCTTTCTACTGCTCAAGTTTTATCTCCCTTCAATTGTATATTAAGACACTCAGGTAGAACTGGAGAATCTCATGGTGCTTTGGAATAGGCAATTATCAAAGATGCCCCATAGCAAGACTTTGTCTTCCTCACCTAATTAGAAGCTGCCTTATGCTTTCCATGTTTTCCCCATGAGGTTTTGTTCCCTTCAGATAATTGCAAACTGATACCCTGAATGAAAAATCCCCTTGGAATAAGATTGAAATTTGTGTCTGGTTGTTCTTATGTCTACATCCAGATCTCCCTTGCTTCCTCTAGTACTTTAGATACCAACTGCAGGGAATTTCCAGGGGGATAATTTGTTATGTGTGAATTAGGATTTGGCTCTCTTAATCAGTTGAACATGGTTCTGCAATATGAGTTTCTGCTAGTTTTGTGTTGAAAGTGTTACTGTTTGTCCCCTTGGCCATGGAGATTCTGCAGATTTTTGAAACCCTATAAAGTTCTGCAAAATAAATAAATAAATAAATAAATAAATAAATAAATAAATAAATAAATAAATAAATAAAATAAAATAAAATAAAAATAGTTTGTCCTATCTCTACTGTTACTGTCCATAGCTTTTAAAATAGAGCATACTGTCTGGGTTACTTTGAGATTGGAATAGTACTCCATGTGTGGAACAGGAATTGTAACTAAAATATAACAAACTGCTTGAAAACAGGCCATAAAACCATTAGTGTTTATACTATGTATGTGTGATCGTGTGTGTATGTGAACTAATGACCAGAGAAGTATCTTTTGAACCCTGTGTAAAACTGAAACACCTATCATGGCTGTGTAAATCTGAAATACCTATCATGGCATAAACAATTTCTAATGCAGATTAAGATTCCCACCTTCTATTACCACATATTTCAAGTAGTCATAAGCAACTATTGCAAAAATATGGGTGGGCACCAAGTTGCTTACTCCTGGTTTAAAAAGTACAGATGCCAACTCTTAAATCATCATTTAAAAATGTCAATATGTGGCAAGCTAGTCTTCTCACCATCTTTGTTCCTTGTCTATAATAGTATTTTCCTAATTAGAGTACAAGACAACATGGCTGGGTGATTCCTGTGGGGCCTTTTTAACATGGCAAATGAAGAACCAAATAAATGGGGACCACGAGCTCAGGGAAAAGATGCAGCGAACCCTTTCCCACTGCACTACAAATATCTGTTTGATATCCATGTTTTTGACTTGAAGGACAAACAGCAGCATCCAGGAATTATTTCAAATTGGAAAATTACATGGAAGGCGATACATCAGTCTCTCCCTGCCATTTTTGCTACTGCTGGAAAACAAAGTGAAACACTGGATAATGTAGGAATTCAAGCTAGTGCAAATGTTTAGACATGAAATATTCCAGTCAACTACAAGTTTAGGGACATAGTAAGTCCTTTTATCAGGTAAAGGCCTATAGTTTATCCTGAACTTTGGTGAGTCAGAGTGAGATTTCATCTTTGGTATTCCTAAATTATTGGTCTAAAAACCTTGTTTCAAAAGTAGAAAGCTTTTGAAATGTCTTTTAAAAAGGAAGCAAATATGGCAGATTATCTAGGATAGTTACTGTGTTTAAAGTCTCTCTATATTTGAACCAATCCTACAATGTGAGTAATTTTAAAGGGGAAAGCACCCACAAATTGGAAATATGCTCAGACATAGGAAACACAGCATGACAGTAATAGCACCTCTGATTTTTCTTTTCCAGCACCTGGAATGGAAAGCCATGCTGCCTCTGATGTTTTATTATATGCCATTAAGTTGGTGACCACTCTTAGCAAGACAGACCTTCTCCAGGATGATTTGTCCCTAACCTGGCCTTCAGGTCTTGCACTGACACACTCATTGCCACTGTAATCAAGTCAATCTACCTTGCTGCTGGTTGTCCTCTTCTCTTTCCTTCCACCTTTCCCAGGACTATGGACTTCTCAAGGAAGCAGGGTCTTTGCATAAAGCATCCAAAATATGATGAACTGAGCCCAGTCATTTGTGCCACCAGTGAGAATTCTGCGTTGATTTGTTCTATGATCCTTTTTTTTTTCTTGGCTGTCCATGGTATTGTCAGGAGTCTTCTCCAACACCAACATTCAAAAGCATCAATACTTTTCCTGTCCTGCTTCTTTAATATCCAACTTTCACTTCTATAATGTATCACGGGAAAAACCACTCTAACTTTGCACAATCTTATCTTTGTAGGTATATTCACACCATGGTATCTGAATCTCTCTTCCAAAGCCTTCACTGCTACCCCTACTAAGTGCTAGTCTGTGGTGTATTTCTTGGCTGCTGGTTTCTTTACTATTAATAGTCACTCCTAAAAGGCAAAAGTCATCCACTACTTCAGTGTCTTCACTGTCAGTTCTAGGGCCGGTTGCTGTACTCCTCATTAGTTTGGCCTTCTTTATATTTAATACACCTTCACTGGGCTCCGTGGCTTTCATTATTAAGGGTTCCAGATCATTTGCACTGCCTGCCATTAGAGTAGTGTCATCAGCATAGTACTCAAATGTCAAAATCATGCTCTTCTTCTTCCAATACAGCCTCTCTCAACATATATTCAGCATATAGGTTTACTAAAGAAGGAGAAAGTATTCAACCTTGTCTCACTCCTTTGCCAACCTGAAGCCAATCTTCCATTATATTCCATCTGGACTGTAGCTTCCTGTCCTATATATAGGTTTTACATGAAATGTTCTGGGATTCCTATTTTTCTAAGGACATGCCACAGTTTCACATGGTCAACACAACTGAAGGCCTTTCTAAAACATATTGACTTATTTTTGGTATTCTTTGGTTTTCTCAAAGATCCAGTGTGCATCAGCAATAATATCTCTTGTTCCTTGGCCTTTCCAAAAATCAGCTTCAGTATCTGGCATTTCCCTTTCCATGTACAGCTCTAATCTGTGTTGGATGATCCTAAGCATTATTTTGCTAGCATGTGAAATTAAAGGTGTTGTACAATAATTTGCACACTATGTTAATTCTCCTTTCTTTGGTACTGGTATGTAGACTGACCTCTTCCAATCTGTTAGCCAGTGGGTCATTCCCTAGATGTGCTGGCAGAGTTTGGTTAAAACCTTTACTAATTCTCCCGTTACTTGCCATATTTCTGTATATATTTCATAAATTCTGGAAGCCTTCTGATATGGTAATGATCAGAGTGCTGATCTAACGTCATCTTCTATCGCTAGAGCTTTTTGTAAATTGGGAATATTGTCTAAGCTATCTTGAATGTTGACATCTTTAGTATACAGAATTTCAGTATACCCTTTCATCTTTGATCTCACTTGAGCCAATTGCTGCTGTCCATTGGCATTCTTTAACATACCAATTTGAGATTGGAAGATCTCTTGGATGACTTTTTCTGTGTCTGTTTCCATCTTTGATGTCTTTATTTATATTGTTATAATTCTGCTTCTTGTCTCTTCTTGTTGTTCTCTAAAATTCTTTTTGTATTCCTTCCTGAGATCTTCATCTTTTTTGGCATCAGCTTGTCCAGTTCCAGACCATTTCAATTTGCTGATGTGTAAGACACCAATGTGTAGTTGAGCCATTTCATCTTTTACCATGTTGAGCTTCCCTATGTTCATGCTTTTTACATTCCATGTTCCCACTGTAATTTTGTCTTTAACACAGCCAATAAGACTAGTGGCTAAATGACTGGTGACCAAAGCTAAACATCATCATGGCAAATTCAACAGAAGAAGGTACACCAGTAGTTGCTAACAGAGAAAGGTAAACAGACATAATTAGAAAAAAATGGAGTCAGATTTTTTTTAAAAAAATGGGAAAGTGGAATGACATCCACAGCTGGATCCTGTGGAGAAATGTATAATCATTAGTATAAGACAGAAAGTAGTGCTCCTAGGTAGGGAATAGGCAAGGGTACATACAAACTCGTGCAAGCTTGTTGTAAGCATATCTTTGTGATGGCATAATATAAAGCATCATGTGTATTGCAAGAAAGGAGCCCTTGCAGGAAAAAATACAAGAGACTGAAAGGATTCTGGAAATACTCCGGTGTTGGTATTGGATATTGTTTGCTGTCCCACTTTACTTACCACAGCTCCTTAGATATACAAAAAGCAACATTTGGGATTCCATCACATACATTTTTTTGGAACTACTTGCTGAAAAAAGTGATAATGAATGGTTTTGGAATGAGATTTTGTTGCATCCAACCCAGTTAACAGGTTCATCTAAGAGTCCATGTAATCTTAAAGGTACGTATAATCCAGTCATGAAACAAGGGATGATCTTTGATTGACAAACAGTCCCATTGGTAGGAACAAGCAGAATCAAGGCCATAGTCTGACATGGTGGGACTTCAAATGTTGCCCACAAACCTTTCCCTCTGAAGGTGATTCTAGAAAGGTGCTAGTTGAATGTATGGAAATGTATTTGTCTTATTCAGAATGATGCAAAAGTACAGCAAATGTGCACAGTGTATCATCTCATTGTCAGGCTACACCAATGCTGTGGCACTGTGTCCTCTAACACAAACACAGTTTAAAAACTAAAGAGCTGGGCTTGCACAGTAAGGAATCTTCCACTTCTATCTTGGTATTACGGCTTTGGATATTTCTGGTGACCGCTTTCTTTGTACCCATCCAGACAACTACTCATTTCAAGCTGGGGAAATCCAGACCTGGAGATGAAAAGTGTTTGTGACGAGACAATCCTCTTGGCAGCAGCACCTGCAACCCACCAGGCAACCTTTGAGGCCTTCTGTTCAAGTTAGCTACTTTCCTATAATGCCTTTGGCCACAGTCTCTGGACTGGGCATCAAATGCATCTCTCTCGAGCATCTCAACCTCCTGGTGTCCCCTCAGATCTTAATGTCGCTGGTTCTTCCCATCTTTGCCAGGAGGGTTTGTCCCATTCACTGGGACATAGTTCAGGCGTGGTGGGCACTGACTGGGCTGGCTTATTTTCTTGGAGATGCCAGTTCGATGGGGAGCAACAGAAAGAGAGGATGCCTCACTGGGACCTGAAGGAATAAAACCAGAAATGAAAAAGAGGGCAATCATTAGGGTTTGTACATGGCTACATCACAAACCAGGGAATAACTGTATAGCCCCTTAACAGCTATTATTCCTTAGGCTGACCTTCAGTACAGCTGTGCCATCCTAAAATCTCCAACCTTCAATTTTCATTTATTTATTTATATATGATTGCCTTTGGGTCACTCCTGATGACTGCCTGGACTAGTCACTGCAGTTTTCTTGACTATGTTTTCAGAAGTGATTTGCCATTATCTAATACTGAGAGAGAGAGAGAGAGAGAGAGAGAGAGAGA